AAGTAAACGAGTTACGTTTGGTGTTTCATGTCGCTACTTGACATGACACGTGAAACAGATCAGTAGCGGGTATAACCCGGATGACGCATTCCACCTTTCGTCTCATGGATCCGGTCAGACGGTCACACTCCTGGTGCAATGCTGCTTCCAATTGGCGTACATCTTGTACAGGAGGATCTCGTGCCTCTATGCGCCGCCCCCAGAATATCCCAAACATGTTCAAGGGGGTTCAAATCTGGGCTCATTGCTGGCCAGGGAAGAGTCGTTATTGCATTGGCCCTCATGTAATCCACGACTGCATGCGAATGATGAGGCCTGACATTGTCATCCATGTACTGAGGTCGAGTAACAAGAGGGTGGTTGTCAAAATGAGGAACGACGACTGGCCTCAAAACGTCCCGGATGTACTGAGCCCCTGTTAAGTTGCCCTTTATGGTGACCAAATCCATCCTGCAATCATGAGAGATACACCATTACCGAGCCCCGGTCGTATGCAACAGTCGGTTTAATGTTCCTAGGGGTGTAGGCTGTGTTCCAGTGCCTCCAAAATCTCTTTCTCCCATCAGTGACATGGATCAGAAAGCGACTTTCGTCTGACCAATGGATCCGTCTCCAAGTTCTCAGATTCCAGTTCTGTCGCACAATATACCATGCTAAACGAGCAGCTTTGTGGGGATCTCTCAACAAGGGACGTTTTATGACTCGTCTAGACCTCAGTCCTGCTGCTTTCAGCCGGTTCCTGGTGCTAAAACGACGTTTGGGCAACCACAGCTGTTTCAGCCGAGTACTTGTTGAAAAGGGTTCTCGGCGTATGAGACGAAAAAGGTCCCTGTCTTCGCGATGTGTCGTCATAGGAGGTCTTCCGGGTCTGGGACGGACGTGTACATCACCGGTCTGAGCATGTTTCTCAACTAAACGGTTTACGACAGTGTGATGATACCCTAAATTCAGACCATTGGCATTACAAGACATTCCTGCGTTATGCATGCCGATTATTTGCCATCTTGTGGCGTTTGAAAATCGCCTTCGAGCCATGGTCACACAATGTTATGGAATAACTGCTTAAAACCGAGCTTAAGAAAGCAATTTTAATGATTGGATATACTGCATTTAGAGATACTCATGGGTAGCATGCTGCACGGGAATACCATGCATGGCACGTGAGCTTTCGTCACGCATGATTACATCATCTCGAAAAAAATAATTCTTCCCGTAATTATATCTTTCTTGACTGTTACAAATATTGGGATCAAACAATAATGAAATATATTAGGGTGTGCTAATCTTTTGTCTTTGTGTATATTAGACTGACAAAACACTCCCGAAGAGCCTGAATGACTCTCAGGAAACTTTCCAATATGTCGAACATTCCTGCAGCTCCAACCTTTGGTGTTTACATTTCACAACTTTTGAAATACAATCGAGCATGCTCTTTCTGCCAACATTTCAAAGAGCGTCATAAGACGCTTGCTCAGAATTTGTATGATCAATATTAAAACCTTCAAGGTCTCAGTAAATATTTCAAGGTATTTATGGTGAACATAATGTGGAGGACATTTCCAAATTTGACGCATCAGTAACAAAATCATGTCCGATGCAACTCCCTATTTGGACTTGGACCATATATTCCCTTGCGGTTTTTTTAGAGGAAATTTGACTTGCCTTTACATGTGTGTGACAGGTGCCACCAGTGGGGCAGGATCCGCTCACCTTTTCGTGAACTCCTGGTATCACTCTTAGATAGCGATTCATACACACATTCTCATGATACAATCGGAATCGTACGTTTCGCACTGGATCACCACATGTAACGTTTATTGGCCTTCAGTGAAATAGACCTATCCAGATGAATTAAACTAGCTCCACCCTCATTTGATATAAAATAGAAGCGACGGCGTGTCAGCTTAATGTGGGAGGAAAGCCCGAAGTGATGCAGGTCCCAGACGTTTACCAGTTCCTCGCACATTAAGCTGACACGCCGTAATATAACTGGAATACTGTTAAAAGCGGCGTTAACCCCAACTCACTCACCCGTACAGTGAACTGCAAAAGCCAAAAGCTATGGAAAGGGGCGTGTCGCTTCTATTTTATAGTGAGTGAGTGAGTTGGGTTAACGCCGCTTTTAACATTATTCCAGTTATATCACGGCGTGTCAGCTTAATGTGGGAGGAAAGCCCGAAGTGATGCAGGTCTCAGGCATATACCACTTCGGTGAAACCCACGAGCACGGGTATGGTGCGACAAACCTAGAAACATAATTGGGGCGAACCGGGATTCGAACCAACAATCATAGGTTTCTGGCGTGCCCAAGGGACGCAACTCTGCACAGCGAATCGCGGCGCCTTAGACGACTGGGCCACCCGTGCCCCCTTCTATTTTATATCAGATGATGGTGGAGATAGTTTAATCCGTCTGGATAGGTCTATTTCCATGAAGGCCAATAACCAAAATCTGTTCATCGTGAACATTGAATCATTAGCGTTGATACTATTTCACTGTCTTGTGTCACTGGTATAGTCAGATGAGTCGGGAATGGATTACCGACCAATCATCCCGATACGTAAATACTATACAGTGCATTATTCCATTACCGATAAATCAACGTCACCGTGAGGGATAGACGCGCAATGCATGTCTGTCTGTTACATTTCACTTCCAGATTAGAACTTTATATAAAACGTTAAGTCCAGAGCATAACCAGTCTCGAGTATCTGCCGAAACAGGTTCCATTTGGCGTTAAAGGCAAAATAGTGGTGACGTTTATATGAATGGATTTCTGAAAAATCCGTGATTACACCAGATGTTCCCGAAATTGTTTAAGGTTGTTCTTTCTAGCAAAAAACAAGCTCTGCACTTTCGTCTTGAGGAATGACCGAACGATGGGACGAGCAGACTTGATGGTTAGTATGGAACAAGGAGAAATAGTTATGTTTCATTAACCATCGAAGGGCGAGTACATGTAGCCCTGCTGCTGAAATATGTTAGCTTTATAAGGCGAGTCAGTTAAAGTCGACGTTGCCACACAGCTATTGGAGATGGGTATAGATATATGACTGTATGATGGTCACCTAAATACTTCCTCAATACCTCTCAGTGTTTCTAAGATGGTGTGGTGGTGTTTATAGACAGCTTTTGTCTTCCTGCTGTAGATTCAATACGGTTATTTATTATGGTATGTAGGGACATGGGTGTCTCGCTCATCGAAATCGCAACTATTCGGTGTTCTAATCATGAGTTGCGTCGGACCGCCTTTATGGTCCAGCGGTAGAGCGTCTGCCCGTAGAGGGGAAGGTCCGGGGTTTGATCCCCGGCCGCGTCATACCAAAAGACGTTAAAAGACAGCCACACACACACACACACACACACACACACACACACGCACGCACGCACGCACGCACGCACGCACACACGCACACACGTCGCTATATAAGTGCAATAATCTTGGATGAGACGTTAAACCCCACCTCACCTTACCTCATCTCACCTCACCTCACCTCTAAGTGTGCTAAAATCCGATGATATTGTATTCGAATTCCATATTCCCCTTTGCTTATGTTTCATGATTTGTCTGTATCATTCCTGTTCCCGTGAGTTTCATCAAGTAAGTAGATGTCTGAGACATTCATCACTTCGGACTTTCCTCCAAACAACACGCCGTGGTATAACTGAAATACTACTGGTTCAAAGCAGCGTAGTGCTGGTATTGTCTAACAGTTAGATACTAAGTGATGGGGCAGGTTACGTTTAGCAAAACCAGCGCCGGCGCTTAGTTGATAGGTGACAGGCAATTTGGACTCCTCAATATATGTAGAACACTTGTCCTGTCACATACTGAACCACAGTTTGTCAAACATTTGAAGTGTGCTCTATAAGTGACTTCGTACGACAACTCAGGGAACTGAGAATGCAACGTTAAGTCAAACACTAATCGTTTGACGGGAATAATGTCCCTGAGCATGTCTTGCGCTCTGAGTATGCATCTGTCTCTTTTGACACTTCGTATGACTTTGTCCGACTCGTCTGGGAGCTGGGAATGCAATGTGTACTATTCTGATCCGTTGACCGGGATAACGCTCTTTATAATGCCTTCCTTGCTCCTTGAGTATGTATGTCAATATAGACGATATAGATATATATAATTTTTATTATATATACATCTTATGTTGGTAACCCTCCTTCTGTCCGCTGTTAGCAAGATAAGGAAAATACAGAAAACTAATGGTTACCCATATCGAAGTTAACATTTGGAGTCATTGGATCATGATTAAAAGTGAGTTCGGTTTTTACGCCGCTTTTAGCAATATTCCAGCAATATCACGGCGGGGGACACCATAAATGGGCTTCACACATTGTACCCATGTCGGGAATCGAACCCGGATCTTCGGCGTGACGAGCTAACGCTTTAAAAGGTGTATGTCCCTTCTGAAAACTGTACTTCTGAGTATATCTATGTAATAAATATTGTCTTAATGGAGATACATACACAAGGAGGTTATGTGCATTATAGAGGAGAAACGGTCTCCTAAGGCACCGCAATTCGCTAGGCAGAGTTTTGTCCCTTGGGCATATCAGAAACTTGTGATTGTGTGTTCGAATCTGTGCTCGTTGGTTTCACCAAAATTGTTAAGGTCTGAGACCTGCATCACTTCAGACTTTCGTCCCACATCAAGCTGACATGCCATGATATAACTGGAATGATCACTCACTCACTCAATGCAATATATGGCCCATATCTTACTTATTAACCAAAACGGAAATGGGTATATGTTTTAGGAATATTGTGTGCATTAACGAATGAGGCATATCTTTTACATAATATGGCACGTAAAGGAGAGAAAAAAAACATTCTTTTTCTGGTCTTATGTTATCCTACTGACTGCTCGTTTGCTAGGTTCACTATTAATGTGTTACATGGCATAAGGACACTCTTAATAAGTCCATAGATACTGCTACCAGTGTATCTGTAGCTGAAAGAAGACAAGAAGGCGTTTTTAGCGAAAGAAAGAAATCATCGTTTGCACATTACAAATGTTACACACATGCGTACAATACTTTAGTGGCAATGAAAGCAAAAACTGTGCCAGATGTACAAGAACACGTCATATAGTTAACAGTGAATATTATTATTTAATAATTATTAGACTAGACTGAGCTCAGGTTGTTTGGCCGTCGGGTAGACTTCTTGAACAGGGTCGTGTACTCTGTATAGGACGTCATACTTATTGTTCTCTGGCGTTCGTAGTCTTCATGGCAGCATCCACAACAGTGAAGTAGATATTGGAACTTCTTTCTGAAGTTCTCGCTGAAAACACAGTACAAAAGAGGGTTGGCAGCAGAGTTGATGTACCCTAGAGTGGTAACGAACACAACATACACCCATGACTCCTCAAAACGCTGTGAAGAGAAAGTGTTGTAGAACATTAATACTTGATGAGGGGAATAGCTAAGGAAGTATATTACAACACTGGCAATTAGCATTTTAACGACGCCTTTTCTTGCTTTGATGGCTTCCGATGTCCGCCCGCCTCCACGCTCATTCCGGTTCCTGTTCACATTTCGGTGAAGTTTCTCCACGCCGACAAATAACCTTTTGCCTATGACGATGTAACAAACTAATTGGATTGTAAGCGGTCCGAAGTAGAAAAGTGCTGATTCTGTGTACTTATAAGCTTTCAAGTAGTCAATGCTGTTATTACCAGGGAACTGGGTGTAACAGAAATATTTTCCTGGAGCCACTAGGTGAACGGAGTTGAACAATGCTGTAGGAGTGCCGCACACCAGGGAGAAGAACCACACAATGATGATGACGACAAATATACGTCGTTTGGTGCACACGATGTGGGCTTTGATTGGAAACACGATGGCTATATACCTGTAAATAGAAATGTATCCACTTTTAATACATATTTAAACAAATATAATTAGGTGAAAGCCCAAGGGAAATTAGTTCCATGTGATTTCCTTCATCTCAAAAGTCATGCATTATTAAGAGAACTATAAATATAAAATAGGCATTAGGCAAAATGAACAAGCCTGTCAGAGTAATCATTATCCTAAAAAATATGTATTCAAGATGTATGAAAAAGTAAGAAAAAATTGTTTCAGACTATATACAAATGAACTGGTGAGGACTTCCATTGGCCATACATATGATTTATGTTCGATGCTCAGTTCGTTTAATGTCTATAGATTACTACTTGTCTCAGAGACTCTTATACACGGAGACGTGTGTACTTGCTTCCAGACCGATGTAATAGCCTTTTGACATTGCGGGAGTATCAGCCATATCGATTCCAATAAATATGCGGTAAAATAGGGCTGTAAGGCCATTAACGCTTCATAACCGCCATAATTATGGTACGTGTGAGTTTTACAGCGCCTTATGAACAACACAGCACACAATATCATTTCTTCATTATCAAGTGGTATTACACACAAGCTATCACATTTCACGAAAACTGCAAACACTGTGATACCAATTTTACGTTTATAAGGAGAGCGGTGATTAAACCTCAGGACACAAATAATTAAATGCAACTCCCGCACTGTGCACGGATTAGCTATGAACAACACTAAGTCTGAGAGGTAGGTGTTCCTCACATGTAAGTTTCGATGACAAGATTATGCTATTCCTAGATGAAACGCACCGTCGCAGCACATTCACTTCCACCTTTGGTTGAGTGAGTGTGAGTGGGTGAATTAGTTTTAACGCCGTTTTGAACAGTATTCCAGTTATATCATGGCGTGTCAACTTACTGTGGGAGGAAAGCCCGAAGTAATGCAGGTCTCAGACGTTTACCACTTCGGTGACAACCACGTGCACGGGTATGGTGCTAACAAACCTAGAAACGTAATTAAACGAATAGGGATTCGAACCCACGAATTGGAATAATCCGAGAATGCATCTCTCGTTCTGCATGTGTGTTAAAATAAATTGCTTCTGTCTCCCACAGGCTGTGATTGGACGACACTAAATACAGCAATCATTGGTCCTAGGCATCAAAAGCAAACATATGGCGGAACATGCAGTTTGTTTGTGAGATTCAAATTGCTCTCGTCAAAATTAACACCAGAGCAGTGTGTTATAAAAGAGGACAGTGGAACCACCGCATCTGTTTCATAGTTAGATACTAGTATATGCATTCAGAGGGACAAAATTGTATGATAAGAGGGTTCCTGCTTTGAGAGGCATTTGACTTAATTTATCAGCTGCTAACCTCCCCTTTATGCTTTATTCCAGTAGCTCACAACACTTAATGGAACAAGCGAGCATATTTTTTCTACCAAGATATAAAATAGCGTTATCGACTCTGTTGTTTGATTATTTTTTCAAAACGTTTGCTTCTGTAGCCATGTGTTATGTCCAATGAATGACAAAATGATGTCCAACTTTGACGCATCAGTTGCCAACATGATGTCCGATTCAATTCCCTATTTTGACTTGTACCATACGTTTCCGTGTTTGTTAAGGAGAACAATTGACTTGCATTTGCATGTGTTTGTGACGGGTGCCACCGGTGGGGCAAATACGTTCACCTTTTCGCGAAAACATGGTATAATCACTATTTGACAGCGGTTCAGAAACATAATTATGCTTATCATACAGTCGGAATCGTCCAATGAACTCACAGTAGGGATCACAAAACAATGTTAGCTCTCAGACTAACGTGAATGTTAAAGTATGGGAGTTACGATGGTCTTAACGCTGTGGCCGATTTGTACAAGTTGGCCTAGCTATATCAGCATGGTCTGGTCATTATCGGATTCGGGGCCATGATGATGACACACACTCAACTAGGTAACACATTGTGACTACCCCATTCTTGACGCAGTACAAGCATCAAGTACTGAGGGTTGGATTTACCCCGGATCCCCAACAGAGAGCTTGGAATGAGTGAGTATGGCTTTACGCCGCTTCTAGCAATATTCCAGCAATGTCACGGCGGGGGACACCAGAAATGGGCTTCACATATTGTACCCATGTCGGGAATCAAACCCGGGTCTTCCGCGTGACGAGCGAACGCTTTAGCCACTAGGCTACCCGACCGCCTCCTGAGAGCTTGGAAATAAAATAGATATGATAGAATAGTTGTGTAGCACCTGAGTGTACATATATACCTAGGATGCGCTTACTAGTGATAAATCTTGTACGACATTGGTTGAAGCAGACATTCTTTGGTTGAAATGCAGAAGAAGCGTTATATGACACCCCAAGGATTTGAACTTAAGCCCAAATTTAATTATATATCTGATTTTTTTTTCTAAATCTAATATCCCATTCGACCACCAAATATACTTGTGACAACCAGAACAACATGTAACATTTACGTTTCGTGCTTTGGGACAATGTAACGTTTGAACAAATGTTCATGCTAAATTTCAAATTCCCACAGCAAAGACTGGCGTCACTATCATCCCTTAAAGGGAGTTCCCAATAGCGTACATTCTTTGATTACAAAATGTGCGTACGACATTTGAACGGAAAAGAATTTGAAATTCAGTTAATGCTTGGTTTCAAATGATTCGTTAGAGACCATTCGTCTGAATGTATGTGGTGCACGGTTTAATTTGTGACCCAGAGGATGTCGGGGCAAGTCAAGGGGTTGACTACTTTTCCCACAACTGTCTCTGTCTGCAACCGTTGTAATTGTTCAAAGGAACTGTGGAATTACCCTAAGGCGCGGACCATTTCAGATTCGGAGAGCGGGGGGAGAGGTGTCAAAAATATTTTTACGCTTCAGACTTGATTAAAAAGGATTTGGTTGCAGGATGTTTTTTCATCATTTCGGCTCATAGATTTAGTTAAAGAAGTATCGGGTTTGGGCAGCCGTAGCTGAAAAAAATATCCAGTCCCCTTTAAAAATTCCAGCCCCTGCTGAATCGTTCGAATGAATACCGATGCAAAATACTGTGATGGGTATGGACAGCGTCCACTCTTATAGTATAGTCATGTTGTTGTTTGGACCTTTTCACAATGCCAAACTCCTATCAGATGGGTCACTGTCCATTCTCCATACATCGTGAACAAGTACAATCTTATATACAAATCAAAGATGCACAAAAAGAGCCTTGAGTTCCATTACACAAACACTTCTCATCAATAATGCTGTATCACTTGCCGGGGGCACGGGTGGCCCAGTCGTCTAAGGCACCGTGATTCGCTGTGCAGGGTTGCGCCCCTTGGGCACGCCAGAAACCTATGATTGTGGGTTCGAATCCCGGTTCGCCCCGTTTATGCTTCTAGGTTTGTCAGCACCATACCCGTGCTCCTGGGTTTCACCGAAGTGGTAAACGTCTGAGACCTGCATCACATCGGGCTTTCCTCTCACATTAATCTGACACGCCGTGATATAACTTGAATACTGTTAAAAGCGGCGTTAAGCCCAAGTCACTCACTCACTGTATCACTTGCCTGAGAGTTGTATGCGTGTTATGCTATATCAACCATGCAGCAGTTCGGTAACACTGCTGAAAATGTCTAACAATATAACTATTCATCTAGTGTTCACATGTGCACAATCCAATGAGCAATTATCCATGTCATCGGGGTACGATGACACGCAAACAGCAACGTCAGAGCGCCCGGGCACCCAATCCACATTTGAGTGATTCTTACGTGTATGGTACTTAGGAACTATTCTCACCAGGATATATAGTTGAAAGAAAAAATGAAATACGGATTAATAATAGGTGCATGATCTGACATTATGATATACTTCTCAAATGGCTGAGATAGTATAAAAAATTATTATATACAGTGAACTACGTTTATAACGCACTGGCATTTACTAGCACTGACTTATGTTTTGGTCCCGGCCATCTGTTGTATTTATGTTTATAACGAACTACGTTTTTAACGAACTAGAATTAGTAGTCCCTTTGACGGTTATAACCGTAGTTTACTGTATATGGGCATATTCATTTGTGGTGGTCTGAGACTATATACTACAGTTTCATAAAGGGGGCGCTGAATCATTATTGGTTATTTTATTTGTTTATTTTTTGTTTAACGTCGCACTCAGCACTGTTCGGCGGTTTATTCGTTTAATTTATGTTAACACGTTGCTTCCTCAGTTTGATATTGGGTTAATCGCCACTTGAGCGTTGCCAGTATATGTCGTCCATGAGAAATCGTTTCAATAACGACGATTTAAATATTTTTCATTCAGTAATACATCATTTTTATCGTGTATGTGTTCTTCAATTAATAAATATTTCTAATTATTTTGTGTATGATTTATAGGAATTACATTAACGTCCCTCAGGATGCGGTTTATTGACTACGAAAAGTTGAAAGCATGCATGAAATCGCGTACCCAAGGTCGCCTTGTACCAGCACTCACATAATGAACCGTTGTTGTATTCTCGAAACTTTCGAATTTAAAAATAAAAAAAATAAAAATAAAAAAAATTAAAACTAGTTATACTATCAATGTCACTCTAAGTCCCCAATCTGGAAAGGCGACGCTTCAAATATTATTAGGGGCGGTCGGGTAGCCTAGTGGTTAAAGCGTTAGCTCGTCACGCCGAAGACCCGGGTTCGAATCCCTACATGGGTACAATGTGTGAAGCCCATTTGTGGTGTCCCCTGCCGTGGTATTGCTGGAATATTGCTAAAAGCGGCGTAAAACCATACTCACTCACTCACTCAAATATTATTGGCGATGGTTCTGGGTATTCTGGTTAAAATGTATGTTCCATGTCTGTGTATAAATAACATATACAGTAAACTACGGTTATAACGAACTCAAAGGGACTACTAATTTTAGTTCGTTATAACCGTAGTTCGTTATAAGTACATATACAGCATGACTACAGCAAGTAGTCGGGACCAAAAAGTTCGTTATAAGCGTGTTCGTTATAACCGTAGTT